TAGAAACATATATCATCATTTGATGGTTTGTGGAGACCACTCCTTGAATCTGATGGATTATGGGTCTCCCCATGATCATATTATAAACAGATGGAACGTCCCTGACCAAAATTTCGGCCATCACGTTCCAAGCTGCTCGATCTCTACCGATGGTGACGGGAAGTGTGATTTTCCCATCCGGATATATCGCAGAACCGTTAAATCTAGATACTGAGTAGGGTGCCGGACTTAGGTCCTTAGACTGCAGCTTCAGTTGGTCGAAAGCATCCCAAAACAGGATGTTTGCTCCGCTGCCATCGTCAACGAGGGTTCGCCAAACGTTGTGGTTAGCGATCCCCGTGATGATTACTAGCGGATCATCATGGGGGTATGCCACCCCCAGCAGTCTTCGACTGTGAACGTAATGCTCGGCACTAGAGACTGTGGACCTCGGATGGAGGCATGGTTGACTTGATGGGTTAAACCCTCAAGTGGTGCTTCCGAGCATTTCGGGAGCTCGTTCCCCCAGAAATGACAAGGATGTCAGGATGCTCTTTATCCTGCAGATTGTCTTTTCCAATTGAAATCCAGTTGCAGCCGAGAGTCTTGCTCGGATTTTTTTCTCTTCGCAGCGATCCGCGAGATATTTTTTCAGATAACCCTTTCGGACTATATCCTCGATTTGATCTCTCAGCTAGATACAATCCTCGATGTGATTTCCAGGAGGCTCATGGAACTCACACCATCGGTCTTTGTTTTTATTTTGATGCCACGATGGAAGTGGCCTCAGCTTCTTCTACTTCTCCCGTTCTTCATTATGCTGTAAATTTTAGCACGCGGAAGAGCGAGAGGAGTGTAGGATTCGTATTTCCTTACAAATGGGGTTTTTTCTTTTTTCGGCTCGATCGCCGAGAACGGTTCTGAGGATTTCGCCTTCCTTTTCCTTTGGCCCTCCCTCGGACTATTGTCCTTTTGCCTTACCAGTCGCAGTTTTAGATTGGGACTTGATTTTGTTCCACTCTTCGGCTCGGATGTACTTATCCGAAGCATCAAGAGCTTCCTCCAGAGTTTGCGGGATATGCATGACCATGAAGTCGAGGAACTTGCCAGCCTATAGCCCGTTCCGCAGCGCAAAAATGGCTAGCCCTTGGTCCAAACTTATGATTTTAGATAACTCGTTGCTGAAGCGAGTCAAATAGTCTCGGAGGCTTTCGTCCTCCCCTTGCTGCAGACTCATCACCTTGTGCAGTTGTTTTCTCTCGGAGATTTGCCGTAGAAAACTTGCTCTTGAATTTGTTGGAAAGGTTTTTCCAACCAGTTATCGAACCCTCCTTCACTCCTTTGGTGATCCACGCTTGTGCAACAACTTTTAGAGTGGTCGAGAAGTATTTGCACCAGGTCGGTTCGGACCTAAGGTTTAGGTACATGTGGCCCTCATAGTAGGCAATGTGTTCCTTCAGATCCGAAGTACCATCATCTGTGATGTGTGCCGGGATTTTCACCGTCGGCACATGTTCTTCCAGAATCCAGCTCTTGAATGCGGAACTGAAAGGACCCATCACTGCCTTTCCCTTATCCCAGCTGCTGGGACCTCGCTTCCCCCTCTCAGAGAGGTAGAAGTGGTTTTCCGCACTCGGCTAGGACGGTACAGTATCTTCGTGGTAGGTGATGCGATTGTGCACGCCCCCCTCCCTAGGGCCGATACGTTTGTGAACGTTTCAGCGAGCATACTCTTGTCGCGTGGATGCAGTGTTGATGCTTTTGAAGCTTTGGGGTTCGGACCCCTCGAAGAACTGTGGGTTTCCTTTTCTTTCCCGTTCAGTTCTCTAAGTATCTTCGTCCCAATGCTTGAGCTCCTTGAAAGATGAAACTCGCTCTCCCTCTTCCTGCCATGTTCTCCTCCTTAGGTACCTTGGCTGCTCTATGGAGTCAACGTGTACCGAGGGAGCAGGAGGTGGGAGATGCTGATTCGCTTGAGCCTTCATGAAGTCCATGAAGGTAGCAAGGGCTCTTGCCATTTCCTCCGAAGTGGGGCTCGTTTGTGGCGTCCCCATTGGGCGAGATTGTGAATGGTGGCTAGGAGTTGGACTCCTAGCATTTGACCGGCTCGGCCGCTAAGAGTTGAACGGCTGACCCGTGTTGCAAGGTGACCTATCCAAGGCAACGTTCCCCGACGAGGTGGTCTAGGAAGATGATGAAGAAGGTGGTCCCTTCTTCGAGGGTGAAGATGGAATTGGGACCTTCTTCGAGGAAGAAGAACCATTCTTTTTGGTGCTCTTGGCACTCTTTCTGCTCTTAGTCATGTTGCTAAGATGGTGGATTTTTGGCTTGTATTTTAATGTCTTCCCCACAGATGGCGCCAAATTGTTTCGGGTGAAAACAATAGGTCCTTCGTCTGGACCTTACTTGTGGGATGAAGACTGGACTCGGCCCAAGTGATGACTGGGACGAGGGTTTCCTGCACAACAACCACACGTAAACTGGCCTCGGGGGTTGTGCTGAGGAAGGCCCCTCTGATGCCGAAGTCAGTACAGTGTTTAGAGAGAGAAAGCTATGCAAGATAGTTAATGCTTGAGGCTTGAAGTGAATAAATTGAGAGAGAGAAGTCAAGGCTTTTATACCTTACTCAAGTGGATAAATTGGGCCTTGAGGTCAAATGGGCCTGCCATGTTGACCGGGCCTTTGACTGACTTGGCATGTGTATGGATAGTTGAACCTTATTTGGGCTTGATGTTAAATCATTTGTGGATCGACCCAATTAAAGCAAATTGGACCCAAGTAGAATTTACTAACAAAGTTATTATCATGAACAAATTTGATACTCCCTCCATCTCATAATACAATGTCTCCTTTCCTTTTTGAGTAAACCAAAATACAATGCCTCTTTCTATTCAAAGGTTGTACTTTTTGACATTAGTACCCTCGTTTTTGTGAGTTGTCATCTTTTTTCTTTTTCTTTTTTGTACTTTTAACATCAATTTCCAACACTTTCTCTCTTTATCTCTTCAATTACTTCCAACTACTTTTTCTTTCACTCTATCTTTCTCTAACCCCACATTCACATATGTACTTCTAATAATTAGTTTTAAGGAATTTATAAGTTTCTTAATTCCCGCGTAAAAACCCAAAGAGACATTGTATTATGAAACGGAGGGAGTACTTAATAAGAGTTAATTTATATTAGGAAAAATTGCTTTAAATAATACCACCTTTCACCCGTCCGCTAAAAACAAGTCGACCTTTTGATTATCTATAAATAATACCACCTCTGGGGGGTGTCCGCTTTAAACAAGTTATTTTACCTACAACTTGAATAACCGGTTAAATTTTTTTTTTTCTTTTTAATAAATTCATTTAACAATGTAATTAACTCTTAATAACAACTTTAATTATGATTTATTAACAATTAAATCAAAAAACAAAATAAAAAAAACAAAAAAAGAAATCAGCCCCCCCTTTTAGCATGGTAGCGCCACCAGTCCCCCATCAACCACCTTAGCTTGCAGCGCCACCAGCCCATCGCAGCAACCTTCACCCACTGTAGCCCTGCATCTCCCTCTCACGCACTCACTCCACTCGCTGCTTCCTCACTCCCCATCGCAGCACCAGCCTCACCAAAAGGCAATCGCCAACCCGCATCAATCACTTCCCAACCGCAATAACCCATACCCGCATCACCAATCACCGTTCACATCACCTACCTCAACCAGCCGCACCAGCAAGCCCAATTGCAACAAACAGAGCAGCCAGCAATGCCACAAAGAGCAGCCAGCAACGCTGTTTTGGGTGGGGGAATGAGAGGGGGGTCGATTCAGGGTGGGGGAAGGGGAGGGGGGCGATTCCGATGGGGGGGGGGAATTGGGCAAATTTTTTTGTGAAGAACCTTAAGTAAAATCAGAATGGGGGTTTTCATTTGGTGATGTTACTTGCATAATTCTTGGTACCAAACTATTGTATATTGTAATGTGAGTGTTTTAATTTCCAATTTTATGCGTTTTGGTGAAGAAATGAGCATGTTTCCATTTTGTCCTCAAGCTTATACGTGAGCTTCAATGGAGTTTCCTCCATTGTTGTCTCTACAAGCTTTTAAAGTTCTTCAGCTTCAATGGTGGTGGCTGGGCTGCCGGTACGACTCGAATACAGGGGCAAGCGAAGTCGGGGTAAGGGGAAAGGGGTGGTACGACCGGTGGTGGTGGAGCTGGGCGCCGGCCGTACCGTCGTCGGTGGAGTCGATGCGTGTGGAGGAGGGGGAGAGGAGGTGGCTGGGTCGTGGGGGAGGGGGATGGGGATGGGTGGTTTTTTTTTTTCAAAAAGAATAATTTTAAAAAAGTTAAAAAAAATTATATATTCAGACCAATAAAATGATGACACGTGTCCATATAACCTATTAATCAGGTTACCAACAGGTTATAGCTTGTTTAAAGCGGACACCCCCCAAAGGTGGTATTATTTAGAGATAATCAAAAGGTCGACTTGTTTTTAGCGGACGGATGAAAGGTGGTATTATTTAAAGTAATTTTTCCTTTATATTATAAAAAAAGAAAGAGTATATCTTTAATAATAAATGAAATAATTAAATGAAAACTATATAAAATGGAAAAAAAAAACAATAAAGATCTATAATTTTAGAAGGGCCAAAATTTTAACGACAATTCAACTCGAAACTTTGACGAACACGAGTCGAGCAGGTTTTATTGGCACGAAACTTTAACGAGCACGAGTTGAGCACATGAAAAAAGATTTCGAGTCGAGTCGAGCACCCCTTAGCTCGTGATCGACTCGCTCGATTAACACCCCTACTTACAACCCTCATTTTCTTAACTCATAAAGGCACCAAACAAGAGATAAGGAAAAATCAATCAATTCTCTATCTTTATCCTTATTTCATACCAAACGTTCAATCATTGAACAATGTTTTTTGACGTTTTTCTTTATTTCAATATAAAAATTGAAATAATTTAATGTCCCTTTTAATCACCTTTTGTTGTTAAAGAAAAAAGAATGGAAGGAAAAGGGGGCAATTTTTGAGAAAAATATTATGAATCCATAGTCATAGCTGTAAACGAATAGAATGTTGAAGAAAATCAAGTATTCTAAACGTGGTAAGGTGTTAGCACCTTGTACAACAGTTAGCACATAAACAAATCCTAGTTGATGTTATCAGGTTGAGCATTTGTGTATTTTGTGCAGTCAAAAGGACCAATCACCCGTTTCACCTGAAAACAATACCAGAACTGTAAGAACAGTTTCCAAAAATTGCAAATTTAGATCAATCATCTTTTTTCTAAGAAAACAGCAATGCTTTAATATGATATAACCAACCAGTAAGTATAGGAGGAAATATAAAGAGAACTTGTAGATTATAAGAATGCTAAAGCCTTTCTTAAGAAAATGAATCAAAGAATGCTAAACTCATCTATAAGAGAGCCATTGCGGCATATTAGAGGTGTGATTCCAAATTCCAAGCATAGCTTCAATTAATTTTGTCAGATGGGTAACAATGACTAAGTTGCAAAAAAGTTTAAGGAGGTGAAAGATATGGGTTAACCCCATGCAAGGAAAGAAAAGGTTATAGATTGTATTCTTCGTGGTTTAACCAAAGCAGCAAGGATTTTTTTAGTTATTCAAAGGAAAGAAAGACAAGAACACGATGTTCTAGAACAATACCAAGAGGGGCCTAGGTCATGAAAGGCACCGCACCATGAGATATACATTATACCACCTTTGATGAATTTTTTTTTTTTAAAAAAAGCAGCTCTATCTAAAACAAGATGTGCACTACTTAGGATAATTCAAATTCTTTAATGTGCAGGCACAAAAATTGACCTTTCAACTGGTAAGAATACCTTAGAATTCAACATTTTTTAAAACTCAGACATCAAATGGTAAGAATACCTTAAAATTCGAAAGCAAAGCCAGACTCTTTAATAAGGAGATATATGCTGGTCACCGGTCATTAAAACCTAGAGTTGGGGTGTATACTATTCTAAGTCTTAATAAAAAAAAAGTAATTAATAGAATTTCAAGTCAGCTTCAAAAGGAATTAAATAATTTACATCCAATTATCTCAATCCATTGATGTCAGATCATTCTCCCATTTATCCATATGCGTGAAAGCAACTGGTGGTATGAGTAGACCATTCAGGTTTTACATCTTTGAATATAGAACAATTTTCAGGTATTGGGAAGAGAGTAGATCAGGAAAAATGAAAAATGAAGAATGCTTGAGAGTGGAAGAATGTGCTTTTAAAACAGAAATTGAGGGTTTGGTGGCTGGTCCTAGGTGACTCCAAGTCTCCAACTATCAATTTCTCTACAATACAATTAAAGAAAAAATTGGTACAGAAATTAATTCCTTCAGTACACAAGGACACAAGGTATTAAGCTAACTTTGTGGGTGTTAGGGATGAAACTATACCCTTCTGTACACAACTAATGAGTCACTAGCAATTCAGCTTACATTTTGCCAATGATTGAGTTTCTGCTTGTCAATTCTGCCAGAATTAGCATTGAGGAGAAAATGATGCAAAAGCACCAGGGTATAATGATTACAAGTCATAGTTTCATTTTTTAAGGTATAGTTGCTTAAGGAGTTTAGGGAAACAGAGCTGCATTGATCAATCAGCCACAGGATAAAAATAGACCAAGCAGGAGCTAAAGCATAGAAAGTTATGCAGGCATTGATAGAGTAGTAGTTTCATACTGAGCAATTAGGACACATGAAGCAAAGCACCATGTCTTACACCCCAATTATATTGCCAATGGATTTAGATATCATCGTTTAACCATTCAAGCCGTATGTCTTATATTTGCATCAATATTCAATAAAGAGAGGCGACGATCAGGAGACTCATACCGGTGACCATGGACTAGGTTCAAGTGTTGACTTGTCGGGAGGTGAATGTTTTACAGGACCGGTCTTCAACGTTAAAATTTCCTGCCACAATGAAGCAGCATTAAGAGGATAACTTGAAAATTTGAGTTGAGGAAAGATCAAATACTAGAAGACAAAGAACTGTCTCATTGCTGTTTCAGATACATTACACTTTAAGAATTCAAATACAACTGAACTCTGGAAACATGTCAAATAATTCCTATTTTTACTCAGCTCTCCACAGACAGCAGGGAAGGAAAGTTAAATGTTCTATTGAACTTTATTAGTGTTTTGCTAACATACTTTCAGAACATTTTCTTTATATCTTTTTATATACGATACAAATACTAAAATATATGTATTATTTATTAAACCACATTCAGTAAAAGTGTCAAACATAGGATTGGGGATAAAAAAAAATAGTAGATGAAGGTCCTCCATCTAGAAACTAGCAAAAGACAAGATAGTGTTAGATTAGAACTATGACCAATAAGATATATTACAGCAATCTTATGACAAGCTAAATGGAATTTTTAAGAGCAACTGCATAGTGAAACACGTACATTAATAAAGACGAGTGCATTACTGGTCTCCATGACTGTAATAAATACAGAACTTTTCAAGTCTAACTATATGATTAAAATGGTTTACCTCTCCAGCAGATTCAATTACAGCAAGCCACTCATCTGAGAATGGAACAACATTTGGTGGTGGTCTCATTGACTTTTGGTTTTCTGTCCTGAATATTGGACTAGTATAAGACATTGAGCAACTTATGTATAAGACATCAAGAACTCTACTATACTTACTGTTTTGTAGCTGCATCCTCGTTATCTATAGCTTCGGTATTGCATGTTCTTTCATCAGTTATATTCTCAACATGTTGGGAAAAATTCAGCCTAGCTTCCCTTGGTGAGAGATTGCACCCTTGTTCAGCTGATACAATACACTCATCAAAAGTTTTTCCCATCAAAACTTCTTGAGGTGATATTTCATCGTTATTTACCGGACATTGATATTCTTCTGGATCAGAATTGGCTACAGCTACTACCAACTGATACTTGCATCTCAATCCTGATGATTGAAATTCCAGATGAGTAATTTTAGGAGTAGATTCATTGCCGTTGTTGGAAAGACTGCTAAGCAAATCAATTTGGTCCTTCACATCCTCCATGTGGTTGTTAGATTGACCTATTCTGTAAGAACTGTCTTCTGACACTGTACTATGATTCAAGTCTGCCTCATTTTTCTGGAGAGTCATTTCCTTGGCAAGCAATTTTTTATTCAAGACCTGCTGCTTGTCTGCCTCAGCAAATGAGTCTTTAGTAGTTTTTGTGTCTTGATTACTAGCTATTGAAGCATCAAGGACAGAACCATAATCACCAGATATTCCACATTTAGAAGACTGGGACTGTCGTTCACCTTGATCTGAGTCGCCCAAATAATCAATTTTAACAGGAACTTCATTCAACAATTCCGTTAAAGTTGAAGCACAATGACTGGCCATCTCTACAACTTCCAAATTCGCAGCACAAATTTCTTTGGTATCATAATTTGCAGAGGTTCTCTGCTGTACATCATGGTTATCAATTTCTTTGTCTTGCATTTCTGAACTTTCACTGAGCTTCATGGTTGGCAACTTGCAATCATATATTACTTCGTCTTGTTCATCATCTACACATTCAAACTTTGAGTCACCCGCTACGCTGCAATTTGCATTGCAGATATCTGTTACCCCACTAATTTTGCTGTCAGCCATAACATTATCTGTGCAAACTGGAACAGCAGAGCCTTCCTCGACCACTTTTATTGAAGACTTGTCATTTACAAGCAAATTTCTTTCAGCAACCTGCTCCTTCATGCTTCGTTCACTGTTGGTTTGATCTAAATCATTATCAGGAGTTCTATTATCATCAACAATTCTGCTTGATGGGTTGCTATCAGGGGCCAACATCAAATTGTCATAATGACTAATTGAATTGGTTTGTGATTCAAGTGTAGCATCATTGTTCGCGGCTGTTGAATTGACTTCCACTTCTAATTGCTGTGATTGAATTTCTGCAATTGCTTCACAAGGCTTAACAAGTTGAGCTTCAGGGCAAGACTCATGGAATTCATCCGCCTCACTTCTGATAGATCTATTTTCTTGTAAGAGAATGAAATCTTTATTATAGCTGGGTTCCTCAAATTCTATATCAGAGCACACTGATTTGCAATCCTTACTAGCCTCTTCTTCAACCTGCAAAGAAATAGACACCTGGCCTTCATATTGCATTTCAAACGTGTCATGATAATCACATCTAGATTGCTCATCCTTTGTCGATTCAGAAGTCTTGTCTCCTCCTAAAGTTTGAACTTCAATTGCCTGCTGATAGCAATTTTTTTGTATCACGCCAGAATGCACTTTAGGGGCAACAATTAATGAAGTGGAGCATTTATCTGTCTTTTGTGAGCACAGCCCTGCTTTTCCCATTGCATCAACATCAGGGGCTCCATGTAATAGTTGTGTACGCTTGAAGTCATGGTTATGATCTGCAACTTCAGATTTCCTTGAAGTTGAGATAGTAGACTCAAGGAGGTTAGGCAGCTTACTATTAACCTGTGATAAGGTATTTGAAGCAGGTATCTTTGTCTGGAATGGATTAGAGTGCAAAGTTAGCCACATAAAGGTTCAAGAGCACTTTTATATTGTAAAAAATTAATTTCTAAGAGGCTTGAACAAGAATGCTTTTTAGGAAGCTTATTTTATACCTCACTAAAGAATCTAAGGGATGGTGACGGCATTCGTAATCCTGATGGTTTTAATCCTTGAACTTGTACATTTTTTCTAAGATCAGCATTATCAAATTGAACATGGGACAAGGCTGCAGTGCTACTTGTTTCATCAGTGGACTTGACCAAACCAGCCACAGCACTCAGGAGACCCTGAACTGAACTGTTTTCGGAAAATTTGCTTACTTTGGTGGTGTTTGGAGCTCTTTGACTCATCAATGAATGCCTTTGCAAAGCTGAGTTGACCTATGTGGAAAATTGTGCTCACGCATTAAATGTCAAAATTCCTATAAGCTTATAAATCAGTGCTACTCAACAAAACCTTTACACATCATATTCTCACCACATCATTTTTCAAATCAGCAGCAGGCTTATTATATTTGGATACTGACTCCAAACTAGATATTGCAGCATTAGAAGTATGCTGGACTTTTGATGATAATTTTGAGCTTAGACTTTTCCGGGCTGCAGAATGGGAAGAAATAATGCTAAACTTCAATAGTGAGGTGGTGAAACCAAAAATGAAATACAGATGATCAAGATGATTAAAATTCAAAAAGAAAAGGGTGGCTTGTTGTATACTAAAACAAAACTGAAAAAAGTTCATTCAAATGCAGAGATAGAAATATGAGTCTCACACACAAAAATTAATTGTACCAAGGCAAAGTTAATAAACCTGGTTGAGGGATCAAGCTGCTTCCACCTGCTGCACTATGAATAGTGGTCACAGAAGGCACAGAAGAATTTTTCTTTAAAACTGAAACTTTAGGAATTTTTGAGTTTCTTGTTGATATTGGTTTAGTTCCTGTATTTGAAAGTCTCTTCTGAGTAATATATTAGTTAAGGACCACTATTTTCGCACTTGTAATGTATGAAATAATACAAATACAGGCTCTTATAATAAAGCACTATAAGGATATGAAACAGACGTCATCGGAGAAGAGCAAACTTCCCCTTTACATACAGCCTTCTTAAGACCATGGCTGGGAGGGGCAACCTTTTGTGTGGACTGTACATATCAAAATACAAAAAATAATTCTTTAGGATGCATTCTAGCAAGAATAGATCAGAAACAATGCAGAAAAATAGATACTGACATTGGAAGCTGAAGTTAGACTACCGCTACTTACGGAATCCTGCTTCATGGGTGAACCACAAGTAGCATTTCTTTTGTTAGGGTAACCAGATGGCAATTCTTTAAAAAGATCTACTTCAAGAGTTTCCAAATTCGCTGTGCCATTGTTCGCAGGCATTGAATTTTTTCCATGTTCATCTATGACAGAAAGACTATCTGTACCATCTATAGTTCCACTAATCAAAGATAACTCTGAATCATTGAGCACACCTGAGAGAAAGACCAGTCATTTAATCAACAAAATAGTCCAAAAACAGTCTCTTTAGAGGTAACTATAAAAGTCATCCTTTGAGGCAACCCAAAGAATACCTTCTTCAGTGAAGAATGCCCTGTCCCAAGCCAAGCTTTTCCTCAAATTGTACCCACCAGCCTTTTTGCTCCTCTTCATTTTTTGTGGTTCGACAATAAGATATGGCACACTCCTAACATGTTTTCATTATCACTGAGACTTTCTTTATTGCTGTAAATTGAAACACTCCCATGAACTTGGCTGCCTATGTTGCCTGTTAAACCTGCAACTAAGATGAAATGAGGCAAATTTATTTACATAATTTCGCTCCAAAGGGATTTCACAAGCTTCCAAACATTATAATCACAAGTTATTATACCAACATAAAAATGCACTAAAAAATACTCTCTAGTCTCTAGAGCAGCATTGAATGTATACTGTGCATATAATCAGCAAACAACATATCATGTACAGTCAGATTTAAAACCTACTAGACTGTTGGTGATCAGGAAGAGGGTGTAATAGACCCAGCTAACGGTCCAATTCCTAAGCCCAAACCGCCAATTAAGCTGTACTATCAGAGAAGGGGGAAGGCAGCCAATACCTTAGCACTTCCACCACATGAGGACAAGAGTAGTTAAGGGCTGCAACTCTGAAAGAAGGGAGGAGCACACCAACAACACCAAGTAGTGGAGCAGCGTGACAGTAGAGCAGAAAGTAGCAGTAGAATGAGACAAATGTAATTAAGGGCAATATAGCCTAGGCTTGTATGTATAAGAATGTTTGTCTTAGAGAGAGGGGTATGAGATTAGACAATTGAAATAGAGAGTAGTATCCTGAAGATACTTTTGGAGTGGTAGGCTGAAGCTACCGTTTATCTTTCAATCAATCAATCATCAACCTTTTTGCTGGTGTTCTTGTCTCTGTTATGCGTGAGTTTAGTCAGTGAGGTAGTGAGTTCTTCTCAGAGGGTAACATACCATTCATTTATAACTGGGTGAAACAGAGATTCTGAAAATTTACGAAACCAAAACATTCTGTGTAAACTATCATTTCTATCATTTGTCTACACCATGTGAAAAACAGAAATATCCGGAATTTCCAACACCCAAATGGCAGTGTGATCAATAAATAAATGTATAAGGCTCTTCTATAAATACACCAAAAATTAGTCTATAAAATATATAACCTTGAACTTGTGTCTTAACTACAAAACCAACCTCACTAGAGTCTATCTGTAGTGAACATTTCCAAAAGAAAGACTTAAACTTAATATAAAGAGTAGATAATCTTTTAAATATATTCATGAACACAAGTTTTTCCTTCTTTGGACCTAAGAGCCAGGGCCTCTCAGTTAGGCCAAAAAAAAAAAAAAAAAAAAAAAAAAAAGAAAAAACCATGATAGGAATAGAGCCCAATAGACTCGACTTGATGTCATTTACTAAAATCTTCCTCTGATTCAAAATAGATACTATGCTTTAACCTCTCACTAACTTTGACCTTATATTTATCCTAATATAATGTGACTTTGTAAAATGCACTTGGATCAATCTCAATTTATATTAGGAAAATTGACTGGAATTATCCCAACTTTGCTCGATTCGTCCAAAATAATCCCAACTTTCGATTATTTTTTAATAATCCAAACTTTAATATGAATTTGTTTCTAATGGCCCCAACTGATTATAAAACTTGTTATAACAAGTCACCTAACACGTGTTAGGACATGATTGGTCAAAAATAAAGTAAAATAATTAACTAAAAAGTTAAAAAAAAAAATTAATTAATTAAAAAACTATTAAAATATTAAAATAAGCCACCACTGCCTAGCGCCTAGCTGGCCTACTCCCCGGTGGCGGATCCTGCCGACGCATTTCCCCCCTCCCCCGCCGACTCATTTCCTCCCTCCCTAGCCGACGAAGCTCACCTCACCCCTATCCCCTTTCCCCTTTCCACGAACAACCTTAGCAGCCCGCTGCTTCTCCTTCCCCAAATTTCCCCATCGCGACGCGGTACCCTCCTCCCCATTCCCCGATCCACCACATAAACGCGCCTCCCTCCCCGAAACGACCCCTCCCCTATTCGCCGGCACCCAAAACCCTACCCAACATAACCTAAAAACCAAACGGAAAGGGGAGAGGGGTGGGGTGGGCTTCGCCGGCGAGGGAGGGGGGAAATGAGCCGGCGGGATAGGGGGAATAGGCCAGCTAGGCGCCGACAGTCGGTGGTTGGGGTAAGACTAGGCTAAGGGCGGCGGTGGTTGGATTGGTTGTTTTTTTTAATAATATTTTTAAGTTAGTTAATTAATTAAACCAATAACATAAATTAAAATTTTTTCAAAAAAAATTAAAATTAAACTTATCTTTGACCAATCACGTGATGACATGTGTACATTAACTTTTAAAAAAAAAATTACCTATTTAACAGGTCACCTGGGACCATTGGAAGCAAATTTGTATTAAAGTTCGGATTATTAAAAATAATCAAAAATTGGAATATTTTGGGCGAATCGAGCAAAGTTGGGATTATTTCAGTTAATTTTTCCTTTATATTAACAGAATGTCAGAATTTTAGAACTTTTACATATATAATTAGAGATATTAAGGGCATGTTTTTTTACCTTATAAAATTCAGGTCTAATAAGTTCACATAAGTTTAGATAAGTTACAATAAGGTCCAATAACTTTAATAAGATCTAATAAGCTTAAATAAGGTTTATTAAGTTCAATAAGGTCTAATAAGTTCCAATAAGTTAAATACTTCATAAGGTCTAATAACTTCCAATAAGTTAAATATAAATTCCAATAAGTTTTAATCAAGTCTAATAATAACATCCAATAAGTTTCAATAAAGTCTAATAAGTTCAATCGGGTCTAATAAGTTTCAATAAGTTCAATAAGGTCCAATAAGTTTAATAAGATCTAATAAGTTTAATAAGATCTAATAAGTTTAATAAAGTCATATAACTTCACTTAAGTTCAGGTCTAATAAGGTTAAGAGAACACACCTTAACTACCAAAGTTATGAATTAGCACGAGTTAAAGTCAAAATACATCATCTAAGTTAAAACAAAGGAAGTTACATTTTAGACAACCTATGAATTAGCGCGAGTGAAAGTCAAAACATAGCATCTATGTTAAGACCGAAAAAGTTACATTTTAGACAACAATTTCAATGTTGTTCACCAGCATGATTGAAGCTATGTGATTTACATTGCAAATTTAGTCTAGATTGATAAATTCATTAACTGCCGAATTTCATTATAGATATAACGATTATATTTTCATTCAAAATATATCATATAGCCAGATATCTGACAAAATCCTAATGGTTTCATCATCCTCTATTTTCTAGATAAGCCTGTATTGAAAGTATTTCTAAAATTTTTGTATAACATACAAATTCTCATAGTTTTCTGACAGATTGCCTATTTTCTACATCAAAATAATTGTCTCATCTACAATTGTTAGGGAAATATATATCGATTTCCAGATTACTATTCAAAATTCCAATATTTAGTTATTCATTTTGCTTACATGATCCTAATAGAAAACGAAAAAAATTTAATTCAAATTCCAGAAATATAATGCAAACAAACTAGTACTCCGTAATAGATTACTACTTGAAAACAAATTCCCTAAACTACATAAAATACCTCAATTTGGGCGAAATCAGTCCACATTTCAACATAAATCAACATCAAATATCAACAAATGAATTCAGGACACTATGAAATCGAAGAACCCTAAAACTAAATTACTCGAATAAGGAAAATGTAGAAATGAGAAAACTAACCTTGAGAGAGACAAACGCAGAGATTAATGCCGGCGGAAAAAGAAGGTGGTCGGAGTAAGGCGACGGCGGCCGGAGGTGTTGAGTCGGTGGTGGTGGTGGTGATGATGAAGGAGGTATCGGGTATGAAGGTGGAGAATAAGCAGGATTCGGAGGTTCAAATTTTGGCTCACTCCTTTGAAACACTGTTGCAAATAGTTGAACTGTAGAACCAGTATATTTAAATTATCGAGGCGGGATCAGAGAGCGGATTTTTAAATCAGTACATATATGATCAGGGCCTATCTTAAACCAAAGAGAATTACGGAGTAGTCCGGTTTTTTAAGTGAGAAATTTGAATTTTTTCTTTTAGCTATGAATCTCTATTACTTAATGATTGAAATTTTAATTATTTTCTTTAATTTTGCTCAAGTAGTCTATCAGTTACGTATGGCTTCTGGTTTATTTTCATAATTAGTCTTATGCGTGAATCAAGGAAAATCTAATTTTTAATCTCTTGATAATATTAAGATTTTCACTTTCTTAGGAATTACTTTACGATTAATTATCACTTTTGGAATCCTAGACATGGGATGTATGCCTGAACTTGTTAAGGTCATAAGCTCGTGTTGCTTAGTGTTTTTTGACTGAACAACATATACCTAGATATTGATGCATAATTAATTATATAAAAAAAGCGAATAAAAAATATTTAAATGAATAACTTTCATTTCAATAGCAGTAAACTTATTAGAAACACTAGTTTAGTCCCGTGCGTTGCACGGATTAAATATCTATTATTTGTTTAAAATAGTTGTCAATAACTGTGTACTCGTAATCATAATCTCATTAATTAATTTTGATAGAAATATTGTACTTGTATTTATTTAGTCTTGAACTTAGAAAGAAAAAATAAAAAAATAAAAAAAAATAAAAGAGAGAGAAAAAAAGGATGATGTCAAAAATAGTTTTGGCGAGAAAAAATTTCATGAGTAGTTGACATGTGTCCCTTAATGATGCCGGCATATTTTGTTTAGTAATAGTTAATAGATGCATGATAATTATTATATAAGCCACGGGGGAGTAAAAAGTTGGTGTCCAATTTTTAAATTACTCAAACTACCCCTAAAAGCTAAACAAAAAAAAATGAAAATTTCCATATTTCCAAAATTTTATATAGCTAGTCTTAAAGCTGGGCACGGGCCAGGTTGGCCTGCGGGCAGCCCGGCCCGGCACGAAAGTCGGCGTGGCACGGCCCGGCCCGGCACGAAAGTCAGCGTGGCCCGGCACGACTCGGCCTGGCACGTTCGTCGCCTGGTGTGCCGTGGGCCGTGCCACGGACAGAGTTTGTGAATTTCCGGCACGAGCCCGCCTCTTGGCTCGCGTGCCAGCCCGGCCTGGCACGCCACTAACGACTCTAATTATAGCTGTTGTTGCTTAATGGCCATTGCTCTTCCCCTTTTTCTAACGGCCATAAATAGCTCTTTTCCCCTCTTTGCCTATAAATACCAAATTTTCATTCACCAAATCACAATTCAACTCATCTCTTCTCTTAATATCTAATTCTCTTAATCTCTTATTCTCTTATATTCTCTAATTATTATTTATTAATATCGAAAATAATTAAAAGTTCGTAATCGTAATTAGTGGAAAGCGTTGAAGTACGGTTGTAAGATCTAAACTAATCTTAATTTATTATTGTTGTTATTGTTATTGTTATTGTTATAATTATTGTTATTAATTATTATTATTGTTATTATTATTGTTATAATTGTTGTTAGTAATTATTATTATTGTTATTATTATTGTTAAAATTGTTGCTATTAGTTATTATTATTGTTAATTATGGCATCACCAAACACAAACAACCCATCATCCTCTAGGAAAGCCTGTGGTAATAGGTCTAGGGAATCACCTAATCCAATTACCCCCCCCCCCCCAATTTCAAGTCCGACCAATGACCCCGGTAACATCCCCCTAGGCTTTGAACAATTTAGGCACGATGGTACTTCCGGTTTTCAACCCTATAACATTAATAATATGCCCGGATTTCCACAAAACCAATTTCCACCACTAAACCAATTTCCACAATTTGGTCAATTCCCACCTAATTTCTTTGACCACTAAATTTTTATTCTAGCCAAGGTAGCCAACAAGATACCCTAAATGCCTCCGGTTCTATTACTAACCAACAAATCCTCGAATCTACAAACACCCAATTCCCAAACAACAAGAGCAATGGTTAACCGTAAGTGACATGGTAAATATCAAAAGCCGCAAAAGTGATGTATGGCATTATTTTCTGCTAAATAAAGCCCAAACAAGAGCAAAATGTAAAACATGTGGTAATATATACCCGGCACAATCCAAGTCCGGGACAGGACACTTAAGTAGACACATGAAAAGTTGTGAAAAACCAGCTAGTGATCCAACTTAGCCAAAAATTTCCCAATACCATCCACACGGCTTTACCTACAACTATGAGAGGGATAAGGATGAACTAGGGAAAATGATAGTACACGCCGAACAACCTTTATTTTCTCCGAAAGTGACTCATTTAACACTTACATTAACAAAGCATTACAACCCCAACATAAAAGAATCTTTAGGAAAACCATTCGTTCCGTCGCCATGAAAAACTTCCTAGAGTACAAAATGCGGTTACAAGACGAATTGAGTAAACTTAATTGTAGAGTGTCTTTGACTGCCGATTCTTGAGATAGTGGTTATAAATATCACTATTTATGTGTGACTTGTCATTGGGTAGATGATCAATGGTTGTTACAAAAACGAATAATTCATTTCAAAATGCTGGAATACCCCCACACCAGTATTAACATTGCTCACCATTTAATGGAAGCAATAAATGAATACAACCTTCAAGAAAAAAATCATGTCTATGACATTTGACAATGCAACCTCAATGACATATACTACTAATTATGTCAAACAAAACTTGACCGATGTAATATTGATGGTGACGCACTTCATACTAGATGTGTTTGCCATGTTCTTAACTTATGTGTACAGGATGGAATTAGAGCAATTGGTCCATACTACAACAAAATTAGAGATGCTATTATGTCTATTAATAGCTCAAACATGAGATACCAAGAATGGAAGAGTTTTCTAAGACAACAAAAGATAAAAGCAATAAAAATCAAAACCGATTGCCCAACTAGGTGGAATTCCAGCTATGACATGTTAACCAAGGCAATTGAGTACAAGAATCCATTGACAATTTCTTACAACCAAAATTTCCAAACAATGCTATACATGAGGATGATTGGGATAAATGTGAACGATATATGCAATTTTTATAGTTATTATATAACATGACGTATTGTTTTTCTTCTGTTTATAATCCTTGTGCTCAAAACTTTCTTTCAAATGCATGTTTACTCGCCCAACTTTTCGCTGATCATCGCAACCAAAGTGATTATGTTCAGTATCTTCCAGTAATGGAAACAAAGTGGCGTAAATATTATAGTGAAATTCCTTTGATTTATATTTTTGCTTCCATATTAGATCCTAGGCAAAAGTATGAAAATACATTTATGTTAGTTGACATTTATTTTCAATGCATGCTTCTTGACAATAATGTAGATACCTATAAGAGTAATGTGAAGGATCAGTTTTTTGCTTTATTTAGAGTTTATGAAACCAAATATGGCACCGTTCCTCGCTCAGGCCCTTCCCAACCATCCAAAAACGTACGTAAGTAAAAAGGTCAAACATTTATTTTCACAAGCTACTAACTTGATTTCAAGGTTTTCAGGTGATTCATCAATAAGGAGAACGCAAAGCGATGTCTCGGAGTTGCAAATGTACCTGAGTTACGACTTCACCAAAGGCATGGACGACGATGAGATAAACAACCTCGACCTCCTTGCATGGTGGAAACAACAAAGCACGAAGCATCCAACTTTGGCGGCAATGGCACGAGACATTCTTGGTATCCAAGTCTCCTCCGTTGCCTCCGAACGAGCTTTCAGCGCATCCGGGAGGGTTTTAGACGATAGAAGAACAAGTCTAAAACCTGAAACACTTGAAATGTGCGTGTGTTTCAAAGATTGGTTGGATGCTGAAAATCGCTCACAAGACCGTTCTTACGACAACAACGACAACGATGAAGGAACCTCCGCTTCCGACCATTCGGGTTCGGCTAGTTCCCAATCTATGGAACTAGCCGATGACCTTGAAGGCGAAGATGAAGACGAAGATGAACAAGAAGAAGAAGAAGAAGAATAGACAATTTTTGTATATTGTACGATTTTTATCATTATCAATATTATCATTTTACGATTTATATCCTTATCCAATTTTTGTTTAATATCCTTGTACGATTTTTATCATTATTATCATTGTACAATTTTTTCAAGTCTATGAAGTATGCATTATTCACATCCAAAGTCCAATTTGCCTTTTTTCCCCGTTAAATTATAATTTGTAAATTAATATAACAAAAAAAAATTATAATAATTAATAATTAATAATACAAAAATAAATATAATAAATTAAAAATTAAACTATAACGTAATAGTATAAATTAAATATATAAATATAAATATTAAATATAAAAAATAATAAAACATAAATATTAAACTTAATTTATTTTAGTAAAATAATAATATAAGATTATATTATAAGTTATAAACTATTAAAAATAAAAAATAAATAAAAAATAAATAAATAAAAAAAGAGCAAAGGCAGCAGCCCAACAGGCCAGCCCGGCAAGCCAACCCAGCAGGCCAGCACACAGGCCAGCCTGGCACGAGCCCGCTCGGCACGTGGGCTGTGCCGTGTCGTGGGCTGGCATGGGATTTTGGGTGGCATGACACGGCACAGCACGCTTCCTCCAGCACGGTGGCACGGCACGGCCCGGCACGTCAGAGACCATGGCCCGCCAATTGCAGCCCGCGGTGGTCTGGCACGGTACGTTGTCCACCTTTAGCTAGTCTACTTATAAGAAAGCATAGAAAAATCATTTAGGCTCCGTCCCGGAATCAGGACCCCTCTTTCCCTTTGACCAAGGGGTTCTCGAACCAACCTGTCTTCCTTTGGTAAGCATTTCTTTAAAAATGAAACAATGTAAATCAATAAATATTCAACTTTTAACATCAATATGTTTGGCTCAAAAATTTATATTTTCAATCATATGTTTTTGTAAAATTGATCACTAAGCTAATGCAATAATTATTCTATCACTAGCCCTATATGCATGCTATATGTGCGATAGTTTATATTATTTATTTTAATCATACATTACGACTGTATCACACATATATGATGGAAAAAAATGGTAAAGATAAAAAATTATATAAAATTAAATATATTAATTCGTGTATATGAAAGGATGAAGGTAGACAATCGAGCGTGGTACCTGAGACTAATAATAATGTAAATGGTAAGATTTTGTTTGGTAATATTCGTTATCAAAATATGAACATCAATACAATGCGGAGTATAAAACAATATCAAATTTACTAATATAATATATGCAAGATGATTTTAATCGTATCAGTTAAATGATTGATTGAAAATGTAGAATTATATACAATTAATTGATTTTATAGACATAAAATAAATAATGTAATATATTTATTTTTTGGAATTAATACAAGTAATTGATTTTTATTTTATGTAATCTTCGTTGATTGATTAATCTTAACTTTTTCTTTGTTGATTGATTAATCATACCTTTTATATTTGTTGATTGATTAAACTTTATTTTGGATTATTTTTATTATAATTTTGAGTTCATCTAGGCACATAGTACCTATATTTTTTCTTTGCATTTGACATTCATACTGGTACTTTTTATGGTTACAGTGGTACTTTTTATGTACTATTACACATGTATATTATACCATTAGATTATAGTTTGTCTTATTATTACTATTATATCTCACAGTGGTATAATATTTGATAAACAATTTACATAGTTATTTGTACCATATTACTTATACCAATCGTTAAGATTTTTTCTTTCTCCTCCTCTCTTCCTCTCTTCTAGGATTTTCTAAAATTTTTGGCCGTTTAAGCCGAAAATAGTCTAATTTCTTTGGAAATTAGACTATTTTTGACCCTTTTCCTCTTATTTTCTTTAGTTTTGCAATTTAAATTTCAATAAATCTACACGAGTAGTGTAGATGTTCATCCGTCTTCCTATGATGGAGTGTCTCCTTATGACAGAGTCGTTAGTTTTTGTTGGTTTAGTTGTTTGTTTTTGTTTGGGGTTTTCTTGTGTGTTAGGGTTTATTAAAAATGTAATCATCTTTTGTCCTATTATCAGCTCGTTGGTAAAGAGTTGTCCGGGATCGCAGTGGTTGTCAAATCTTCAAAGGCATTCAAGTGAATCAAATGAAAATCATCCTTACGGTTACAACAAATTGTTAGACCGTCTCTCCGAAAAAGGCTGTATATTCCAGCGATGTATGCAAGAGATGTACCACAATGCAAGATCTATTCAACGATCGTAGTTTTGATGAAGGAAACCCTTTGATTCAATTTTATGTATTTGTTGATTTAAATTTCATTTGTAGATAATGTATGGCTTTTGATTAATAAATTGATTTATTTCAAAAAAAAAAAAATCTATACCACTACAACATTTAATGGTATTTATCTATTTGATGGTACTTTATACTCATGTTAATATTTAATACTTAGCCATCCTATTTGTTTCAAAACAAATAGGTGCTATGCGCCAAGAGTTATTCTACTATTTTAAAGGAAGAGGAGTGATGCGGTCTTTTTAAGTGGACACCACAGCCTCCCCCCTTTACTTACACAGAGTATAATAGAGATTTTCATTCATAGATCACAATTCATAAAATTTTTCAAAACACAATTTAAATTATACATTAGCAATATACAATATTTAATATCCAATTACTCCTTCCGTTCTTTTTTATCTTCCTACTTTCCGTTTTGATATGTTTTTTTATCTTCTCACTTTTTCTTTATTCCTTTTATAGTAAAGGATATTTCTACTTTTATCACTCCTTAGTCCTTACCTCGTCACATAATCCACATAAAATTATACGATAATACCAATGTTTCTAAACAAGTTTTTCTCTCCTACCTAAAAAGTGAAAATAGTACCCACTTTCCACTTAGTATTCCTTTTTATATGATATGCAAATGAGAAACTAATCCAAGTAAGAATTTTTATGTTGAATTCTTAAGGGTTAGGGTCTTACTTACCTAAATATATGACAATGACAAATGATAAGTACATCATAATGGAATAATGGATATTGGTAACTATACAAGTATATCTTATGAGAAATCATGAGGGATCGGCTAAACCCATGATCGCAACATTATGGGCCATTTGGATGCATAGGAATGAAGTCATCTTTAGGGATGTGTCCCCAAGCCCATCATGGCTCTCCTCTCGGAATCAACTAGCAGGCTCAAACAAAGGTGCATAGAAGAACCATCAAGGATGTCAACTATGCCCGGCCGGAAGATCAGATTGACAGAATTTTTGGTGCCTAGGAGACACCCTGGATATCACTCCGGTAACATTGCATAGTGGATGGAGCTTGGAAGAGGAAAGACTCAGGACTACAACAAGCAGCTATAGGGTGGGTTAAGGAAGGCATAACCCTTGAAAAGGAAGCCCAACCAGTCAACCACTACACTCAGAACTGGAAGCAATTTTGACAGGAATAGCGAGAGCAGGGAGAGTATGCAGCGAGTGTGGACAGAGTTCAGAGGCTATAGCAGCGATTAGAAGCTCGGAGGATTTGGCATGGGAACTCTGGAGTGAAGTCAGATATATTAGATCTTATATTAGTAAGTTATATTTTTGTACAAGTCCCTTGATCACAGGTTACTTCTGCACCCACATTACGTTGCTACCAAGGCCAAAAGCCAGAAGTAACCTGTTTAGCTCTTGTTTACTTGTTGCCAAAAAAAAAAAAAAACAAAAAAAAAAAAGATCAAAGAAAAAATTTGAAGCCATGTATACAGCAGTTTCTTCCTTATAATTTTATTTTATTTTATTTTTTTTTTTTTTTTTGAGCTCAATTATTGGAGGGGTGCATTAATTATAAAGAATAATGCGACAATGGAAAAAAAAAAAATTAAGCTTTCATTAATGTTCATTACTACATTCACGCCCACTCAAAATAATAGAATATAGTTGAAATTATACTCATAGTAGTAAAGGGACTTACTTCTTCCCATAATTATAATCAGGCTTCTGTGTTCTGTCAAACTAGTCAGGGAGAATAAACACAAAGCTACTTCATCCTTTGCAAATACTTTCGCTAAATTACCAAAATTTCAGCAGCACCAGCTAAATCTACAAATAACATGATCAACCCTTCCTCTTATTTATGATACTCCGTCTCTCCACCTCTTTCTCAGCAACTGCAACACAGAACTCTGCCCCAAGCATGTCGTGAATGTCAAGATTCAATGAGGTACTCAAATCACACAACTCCAGTATAACTTCAACAGTTATATTGAAACCCAGAACGGCCAAGACCCGGACTGCATTCGCAATCCTGCATACGTTCTGCCTTGTTTCCAAGGGAGTGTAATTTTCTTCAAGATTTATTTCTCCAATGGAATTTGCATTGGTTTTCTCAGATTCATTCACATCATCCACTTCCATACCGTCTTTTGCTACAGTGAGTTCACCAACCCAGACATAACCATTACATCCAAGTATTAAGAGAGCTCCATATTGATCTAACTGGTGGAAGTGCTGCTTGCATCTTTTCACCAAATAGGAAGGGACAGTGATCAATTGACCCCTCTCAAGCTGCAAGAGCAAGCATCAAGTAATGAAAACAAAGTAAAAAAAGAACTTGCTGATACTATTCCTAATATTTAGGGTCCTAATAATCACAAAATAAAGTGTAACATGCTCTTGTTTCATTCTATGTTGAGGCAATTACAAATGAACATGAAAGAAACATTAACTACATACTTAATCCTTCTATGCAGCATAGTATTCTAGGCATGATGATTTGAAGCTCTAAGCACTAAGATGAAGACCTGAAAGTTTTCAAGGAAGGGAGAAGGCCAAAATGGAAGATAGGTTGTTTCCACAAAAACTAAGGGAAAGAAAAAAGAAAGAAGAGAAAAATGATGCCACTGCTTTCCATAACTGCTTCCCACAAGTCCCTTTATTACTCTCCCATAACAATAAACTAGAGATGTTAAGGATGATTTAAGAATAGAAAGCTTGAAACCACACCTTCCCATACTTATCACTCCTTGCATGTAGCTGCCAAGTACCATCGTGTTGACTGTTACGAACCTCAGCCTGTGCGGAAGGCATACATATAAAAAATCAGAAATTTGATTATTTGAAGTTGTCATACACCAAAGAATTTAACAGTCGAAAACCAAAGAAACTTACAGATATAACATCATTCTCTACAAAAATATTGCGCATGTTGAGTTCATCAACCGCTGTACGCCGCCTCTAGCAATGACAACAAACTGAAGATTAATTTTACCATGCTGATTTCAGAAAGCAAAACACATACATAGATGAGCACACCATCTTTCAAACAAAATCGACAACATTGACCAATCAACTATGATTATGATTCCAAAGACCCAATGCATGTTGCCAGTAATATTCATTCCTTATTTATTTATTTAAAGGTGAAAACAGAAACTCTTATCAACAAATAAGAAAGCAAGAGACAAAATAGCTTATCAATTACAACTTTACATGATGAAAGTGGCCTTATAAGTAATAGGATTTCCATGTCCTAGAAGCATCTGTTAGCGACCTCCCCTGAGGCAGGCTTAAGCATAACCAAAGACAAGATGTAGTGAGATTAAGCAAATATGATACTCAAGAAGTAAAGACAACCTTGCAAGAAGAATCCAGACACCTAAAAAATGCATCTAATACCATTCATATCAACATCAGTGACACATCTCAACATCAGTGACACTTAGAACGCTGCTAAGTGGCCATTCACCCTCTCCTTAGTTATTGTTTTCTTCTTTTCTTTTCATTGTGTGTGTGTCAATGTGGCAGTGATAACTAAGTCGAGTCGCAACAATTTGCCAATCCCAGGGATAAGGTGGTTAACATCGTACATAAACAATCATGGAGGCCGTAGCATTGATATATTTTTTTATCATTCCCTTTATCTCACTAACATACTAGTGAGGTTAGCATACTTGGATGAGGGAAAAAACAGGTTAGCTAGCATTATCATTCTTCTTTACCGTCTCTTTCTCAAAATAATTACATCCTATCCATACACAAAACATTTATTATGTACAATTTTACCACTAACATCTAAGTGACGGTAGAAAAGGTGCAGTGGTGAGTGAAAGCAGATAGAGACACATTAAAATAATTCTGCAGCTGCAGCTGGTGGTGAGGGAAGCTGGTGGGGAAGCAAGGATAAATGGACGGAAAATGATGACTAGACACTAGGAGAAACGGTGGTGGGTAGGCAAGGAAGATACTCTGCAGTATTTTGTGACTTCTGTGTTTTGTCAACCACTTAATCCAAACAACATCAAAGGATACAATCTTTTCTTTCCGTACCTCTTTCTTGATTCCTTACCCTTTCCCTAAGTGTACTTGATGAGAAGGGTTCCATGGAGTTACATATCAACCCCTTACTAGTTACTAGAAGATAGTAATCCAATAAACACATTAAAAGCTTAATAACTACAGGTCTACAGTACGGTAAAGTAAAACTTGTCTGTATTTAAAAGTACCTAAATGTAGGGAAACACTTTGGAGGGAAGAGGAAAAAGCAACACATCTTGCCAGTCCTGAACCTGGTGCTTCACCTGCTAGATTTCAAACACTTTTGGTCCGATCCTAATTTGTAAATGGCAACAACCTATGTTACATGGACTCGGGGTCGGGTGTCGGACACGGACACATGTCCAAGTGTCCGATCCGGCAAGTTCCAAAATTTTAGGACACGGGGACTCTGATTGATATTTGGACACAGGGACTCTGATTGATATTTGGACACGGGTACGGGGACACGGCAATACGTCACTTAGAGTTATATAAATAAATTATACTCCCTCTGTTTTTTTTATTTGCATCACTTGGTGATGCGCAGAGTTTTAGGAGAGTAATATAATATTGTGAGTGGGTGAATAATTTATTATAGTAAAGGTTAGATGGGGACCATGAAAGAGAAAGAATGTGAGGGAGAGTAAATATTTTGATTATGTAAGTGGGGACCATGAAGGAGAGAGAAATGATAAAATAATTTAAGTGGGGTTTAAAGTAAGAGAGAGAAATGATAAAATATAGTATAAAGTTACTAAATAAGGAAGTGATGCATTAAAAAAAAAAACACCCATAAAAGGAAAGTGATGCATTTAAAAAAAAAACGGAGGGAGTATATTACAAAAATTTTAAAGTTTTCATTACGTCCACCCCTATTTTTTTTTTTAATTTTAATTCTTTCCTTGGTAAATTCTCCATTAAATGACCGTCTTCTTCTCTCCATCTTCTTTATATCAATGGTGGTTTTCGAACAAGATGTGTTTTTCTTTCATGTTTCTCCTCTTTTTTCCTCTCCACTCTTAATAATAGTGTCCGAGTGCACAGTGGAGTGTCAGACACGTGACACGCATGTCCGATTAACATAGGCAACAACAGTTCACAGGGTGCATTTTTTGAGTTTCTAGGTTTGTTCCCAAGAATTTAAAGACTAGAACATCACAAATCAGTACCTGATGCATGGTTTGGTGTTGGTTATGAAAATTATTTTGAACATTTTTCACAAAAAAAAATATCAGAAAACTCACTGACCATTGAGCAATATGATGAAATACAGTTCAGACTAAAACATATACTCCCTCCGTTAAATGTTATGTGCAACAAAATGGAGGTTTGCGGTTGCCAATGCAAAAGTTAAGGGGCAAAGATTAGAAAAAGTTAAAGCAACTTCTGGTATGTAATTAAGGTGGAGAGAGATTAATTAATCAAAACCCACTACCACCACCAAGACCACGCAACACCACCCACACCACCTTCACCAACACCACCGCCGCCTTCACCACCACCACTACCACCCCCATGAAACCACCACCACTACCAACCCCACGAAACCACCACCACTACCAACCCCACGAAACCACTACCACCCCCACGAAACCACCACCACCCTCACGAAAACCCACCATCCCCACGAAATCACCACCGTACCACCCACATTCGTCTTCCCCTCCGTTTTCCGGCAGCCCCCTCCCCCGTCTTTCCCTCATTTTTCCGGCAGCCTCCTCCCTAACCTAAAAATCCAGAAATCCCAAACCCAGAAAATCGAAATCAAAACCCAGAAATTCGAAATCAAAACCCAGAAAATCAAAATCAAAACCCAGAAAATTGAAATCAAAATCCAGAAAATCAAAATCAAAACCCAGAAAATTGAAATCAAAATCCAGAAAATCAAAACTCAGAAATTCGAAATCATAACCCAAAAAATTGAAATCAAAACCCACAAAATCGAAACTCAGAAAACCCAAAATTGTGAGGGAGGAGAGATGAAGAGGATCGTTCGTGGTGGTGGGAGCTAAGGGTCGTGGTCATAGGGAGGAGAAAGACGGTGGTGGGATGGAAGGCGGTTGTGAAGGAGGAGAGAGAATGGTGGTGGGAGGGGCGGTGGTCGTGACTCATGAGGGAGGAGGGATGAAGAGTTGAAAGAGATGAAGAGGGTGAAGGTGAAAGAGATGAAGAGGGTGCCAGAGATGAAGAGAGGTTGAGGAAAGAGATGAATGGGTGGTGGGTAGACTAGGAGATGAGTAAATGGGGTGGGTAGAATTAGGTTAATGATTTTAGATTAGATTAAAAAGGTTATTGTGATTAAAATAAGATAAGGGTAAAATTAAGAAAATCAAAATTTTGAAGTAAGGGTAAATATATAATTTTCAGGGTTTTTGTTCACTAAAAATAGAAAAAAACAGAGAGTTGCACATAACCCTGATCATCCCGAAATGGCAAAAGTTGCACATAACATTTAACGGAGGGAGTAAAAGTAATCTTAGATACAAAGTACATAGATATATCAAACAGAATGGTCCAATATATTAATCTAATGCCTAAGGACATCATATTCTGGACTCTTAAAAGTTAATGGAAGTAGAACGAAAAAATAAGTAAATCACCATCCTAGAAGCAGCAAAATTTTCAGCTCAATATTGGCAAAAGTTCAAAACAAAGTGTCATATACTTCAGTAAAAGGTGCGGAATAGAAGAAATTTCAAGTAATAATAAAGAGCATAGAGAAACAGAGTGGACAAAAAAATATTCTAACAGCAGTTAAGAACAACATATACCTGGATACCATCAGGTAAAGTCACTGAAGAAAGCATAAGAACAGCATCTTGGTTCGAATGGATCTCAACTCTCCACCGCTTTTGAGCAACCTGATAAACATTTTCAGATTTAGCTAACATGTCATATTTATCAAAACTTTGAAACAATATAATGAGCAGATATCAGGTAGACAAACATGTCATAGTTCAAAAACAAAATAAACTGCATATAGTTTACAAGCCATCAAATTCTACTACAAACCATCATTTCCCCTCTTTTCATAGGACTTGTTAGATTTTTCTCAATATGCAATTTATGAAAAACGTGTCAACTAAAATGAAACGGAAGAAGTACTGCGTATAAGTTATACTCCGTAGCATTTAAGTTTAATTTATAGCACTAAGCTAGCAAAATACAGCAATTACAAATTGGTTCAACAACTATATGTTCATTTGATCATACACTTAACAAATAAATTTATAGTATTAAACCAGCAATAAGCAGCTAATTAAAACTGACTACATATCATCAAATTCTCATGTATATACCTCAACAACTCGTCCAACAATGATATCTCCAGTATCAGGCTTATACCTACAGAAATCAATTCATGAAAAATAAACTCAAAACAATTTTCAAGCATAAAAACAGCAGAATTTCTCAAACAAAATGAAACTTGTATCGACGAACCTGGATCGCAAAGAACGAACAATAACAAGTTTATCAACTCGATCGACAACACCACACACAGTTGCAACCACTTCGCCATCAAGCTCTAATGTTCCATGTCCCCTTGAAAACAAAAACAGCAACAATTATCAGAAAAAAAGTATTATATAAATTAGGGATTCAAAAATCGAACAGATGAAGAAAAAAGAATACTTGAGGATATTATCTTCATTGTTGACAGGAATAGTGTCGGCGACGGTGACGGAAGCGTTGGCAGCGGATTTGGAGGAGAGACATTGGAGATTTTCTAGGGCTCTTTGAAGTCGAATCTTTTGGGTTTGATTCAATGACAATTCTATTTCTCTCATTTTCTTCGGTGATTGTTGTTATACGAGTAGCTCTTTCTTATGCACTTCTTTCTTTAAATTTGGTATTGGAGAATTGCTTAAATCCCTTAAAACCTGTCTGAGATTTTGCAGTTCTTAAACCCGTTATTTTGAGAGAAACACCATTAGGTTATCCATCTTGTTGTCTATAAAACATTGCACAATAGTTCACAACAATTTTCTTTTCACTTTTATTTAGGACAATTTGTAAATAATCACCCAAAAATGTACCAGTTTTAAAAAGGAAAATTTAACGGGAATAATCCAACCTTTGCTCCGTTCTCCCATATTAATTCAACCTTTTGATTATTCCGCATTAATCCAACCTTTGCCCCCATTTTCTCCCATCAACCCTTTTAAACTGGCAACCGGCTAAAGAAGTCAATCTTATTGCCATTGACATGTTGACTGTTTGCTTTCCCTCCTCAATGAATTAGGCGCCATTACTACTCCAACCATTTGTGTCACCATCACCATCAATTGATGAGCGTTGATCGCCATTACTGCTCCCTTCAAATTACTTTTTTTCCTTACTGTTTTCACTCTCCTCCTTTCACTCTCAATTACTGCTCTCCACTCTGTTCTACCTAAATTTGTACTTGGTGAAAGCAGGACGAATTCGCGCAGAAGACTGCTGTGGTCCTCGAATCAACGCATTACACATGGAGGTATGTCATCAGCGAACCCTAAATTTTTTTCCTTTTATGGCTAATTGTATGTTAGGTGTGGTAAATTTGCTTTTTTTGGATGTCTATGCTATGTAATTGCGACAATTGTTGTGATGTTTGGTGTAGTGTTATGAATGTGGTGTTTGATAATAATTGATTGTTTTATTGCGAATTTTTTGCTCTGCTTTGGTTAATTAGTTGTAAATGGTTGTGAATGTTGTGGTTTGTTGGTAGATTGATGACCCTTTCTCTGCTGTCACACTAAAGTATCGTTTTGGGGGTGTTTTCAAAACTTATGCAAATGGAGAGGTAGTATATAAAAGTGGAAAAGTTAGGACTTTTTGCATTGATCCTGACAAGTTGTGTTGGTGGTGGTTGGAAGATTTTGCAAAAAAAATGTGGGGACTATGATAAGATAGACTTCCTGTTTTATTTAGTTCCTGGTATGACCTTAGCAAATGGTTTGAGAAAGGTTTACTCGGACCTTGAAGTGCTGGAGATGAGGAGTTTAGTTGAGAAAAACAGATGTATTGAAATTTATGCGTGTGATGGAATGGAGGGCCCACATTTTCAACCTAAGCAGAAGTTGCCAATAAGGAGGTGCCCACCCAAACCCTTAATCATAAAAGATGCTTCCAACCAGAAAGATGCTTGTACCTTATATCTTGGCTCACAGAAATCTAAGCCACCTTACACTCAACCCTTAATAAACCAAAAAAAAGACAGACACACACCCACACCTCTCTCTGCATCTACCTTTGGCAGTCAATACAGTCAAACAACATTTGCTTCTCCTTCCACAGAACCTAACCCAAACTCACCCCAAAAGATCATTGAGGATGACCCTTGGCTAGATAACAGAACAGGAAGCCCAGTTGAATGGAATGAGCTTACAAAATATTCTGAGCAGACTCAGGATTCAGATCCAGTCTATGATCCTATCATTGATAAAGGAAAAGGGGTTGGTGTGGTAGAGGATGACCCTTGGCTAGATAACAGACCAGAAAGCCCACTACAATGGAATGTGATTAGGGGATTTTTATCCACCAATCAACATCCGACACGTGGACCAGCCAGGTTTCGCCACGTGTCCTTGACGTAGGCCAATAGGAGCCTGCCACGTGTCATCATGAGATACGTCCTCCATGGACCAATTGTGATGTGACACGTGTCCATCATGCCAAATAGGTAAATCAGCCAACAAGGCCCAATCTTGGTGGGAAGCCCAGTCAGCCTTAGGTTTAACCTAAACCTAGTACTGGCACGCATCCCAAGGCATATAAATATGCCCATTAATCCTCATTAAAGGGGATTACACACATTAAACACTCTCACCTAGAGAGACCACATTACATTTATTTCCGCATTAATTACTCCTTAATCAAGTACTAACTTGACCGTTGGAGGCGGATCTCCAATCATCCGGAGCATCCGTTTGTTTTGCAGGTACAGGCGTCCGGTTCCAGTCTCGGAATTGTAACTCTCCCGTAGGACATCAAAAAACCCTGAAACATTTTGGCGTCGTCTGTGGGGAGAGTACTTTTGAGATGGCATCCACGTCTGTACCGACTCCTGAAGAGAGGCGTCCCCTGGACGACCCTCAAGTTCAGTCGGACCACGACACTGAAGAAGAATTTGAAGTTGAAGCTCATACAGCTTCAGACGGGACCCTAAGGGCCCGGCGCACCCGTCATACCGAAAGGAGAGAATGGGAAGATCTTCAAACTGGACTCAGTGATCCAGTCGGCGCACCGGCTGTTCAGCAGCAGCCGGCTGATGGGTCTGCTCCTATTACAAGGAACGAACTCATGAACTTCATGAGGGGCTTCAAGGGAGAGATTCAAGAGTTGCTCAACAGAAAGACGCCTGCTTTGGCTAAGGAGCAGTCGGCTAAAAAACCTTCCTCTTCAGGGAAGAGGAAGCCTGTTCAAGGGCGAGAGGCGACCCCTCATCCCAACTCTAGGAAGTGGGAGCCGCCTGCCCTTGATTTCACAAAGTACCGCTTTCCTACTCCAAGAAAGAGGAAACTTGTTCGTCATATTCAGGCGGACGAGTCGAAGAAAACATACACAGACGCTCGGCTACTGCTCCAGCAGAAGAAGAATGACCGACTGTCAGAGTCGGCCTCTACTTCAGACTTCCAAGACAGTCTGCGCAATACCTCTATGAGGTATACTCAGTCACATCATGAGAGTCAGTCAGGCGGTACCTCCCGTCAGTCCGGCTTTCATAGTGACCAGGCGGTACCAAACTTGCCATTTGCACCGCAACAACAATATTTTTTGCAGCAACCTCTGTTTGGAGGACATGCGGCAAAGAATGTCCAACCTATGGACTGGCAGCTACGGTTGCTTAGACTTGGGGAACAACCGTCGGTTTTCTCTAAGGAAATTACAGAAGCCGCTCAGCCGGCCAAAGTGAAAAATGTGTTAGTAGGCGCCTATGATGGCACTACTAACCCAGAAGACCATTTGATGGCATTCACCAACCTGATGTATCTTCAAGGGTTGGATGATCCCACTTGGTGCAAGTGTTTTCCAGCGACTCTCAAAGGAATCGCCCAACAATGGTTCGGCAACCTGCCGACTGGTTGTGTGAATAACTTCAGGACGCTTGCTTACTTATTTACCTCCAACTTTGCCATGAACATACCTGCGAAGAAGACGACCCTTGATTTAGGGACGATTCAGCAGGGCGAGAAGGAGGGGCTTCGTTCTTACATCAGGCGGTTTAACCTGATGCGAATACAGATTCAAGGGCTACCGGATGAGGTGGCCTACACTGACTTTTTCAGAGGCCTCAAAGATGGGTCGACCTTCAAGTTTGATTTAGTTCGAAAAAGGGTGGCGACTCTTCAAGAAGCCTTGATTGAAGCAGAAGCCTATATACAGGCGACTTATCTTTGCAGTACGGGAAAACAGTCGGACGGGAAAAGGTTCGACAAAAAAGAAGGACGACAGAAACAGTCGTCCAACAAAGATGAGAAAAAGAGAAAAGAGGTCTGGGCGGCTGATTCCTCTAAACAGCCGGCCCAGAAAAAGAAGAAAGAGTTCAAACCATACTCCCTGAAGTATGCTTTTAACAAGGATAGCCAAGCTATCCTAAAAGAAATTAAGGGACGGATCTCAATTGAGAAGCCGGCCCCCATGAAGGGTTCTGCGAGCAACCGGAACCAAGAAAAGTTTTGTGATTATCATGAAGATGTTGGTCATCAAACCAACGAATGCATCAGCCTCATGCGGTATCTGGACCGCCTGGCTGAACAAGGCGATCTTGACTCTTATGTCAAGAAAACTAAGGGGAGCACTTCCTCGAAGAAGCAGTCGACCCAAAAGAATCAACAGGCCGACAGCTCTGATACAGATGATGCAGTCGTCTACACCATTGCAGGTGGCTTCTCAGGAGGCGGCCCCACTATTAGGGGTAATAAAGACAATATCAGGCAGCTAGACGTCAATTCCGTTCACCAAGAACGACCCTCCAAATATTCTTTTCCTGAGATTGTCATCATTGAAGAAGATTTAGGAGGGGTAAGGGGACCGCATGATGACCCCATTGTTATTGAATGTAAAGTGGCCAACCAGAGAGTTGGCCGAATCCTCATAGATACTGGCAGCTCCTCAGACCTTATTAGTAGCAAATGTCTGTCAAAGCTCAAATATCAGACTGATTGCATACATCCGGTATCCCACCCTCTAGTAGGGTTAGGAGGAGGAGTCGTCCACCCAGTGGGACGAGTGGATTTACCCATCCGCTTGGGTGAAAAAGGAGAAGGACGGCACATGGTGGTCCGGTTCCTGGTAGTAGAGGAACTCTCGGCCTACAACATGATTCTGGGACGACCGACCCTGAATAATTCCAAGGCTGTTATAATCCCGTCTCTTATGTTGCTCAAGTTTGAGAGGGATGATGGAACAGTCGGCTCCCTAAGGGGAGATCAGAAGATGGCCCGAGAGTGCTATCTCTCGGATATCAAGCCCACTGTCATGGCCGCTGGGTCAAGTGGTGGAAAAACAGACCTTGAAAATGTCAAGGAGACTGCGCCTGATCAAGAAGCAGGCGCCAAGAAGAGAAAGGCTGCCCAGATAGGGGCCGCAAGAAAAGAGAAAAAATAGAAATCATTGGCAGAGGAGCGGTTGGATGAATTCCGCCCTCAGCCGGCTAGTGAGCATACGGACCTGATCCTAGACGACTCGCGTCCTGACCGAACAATCAAGGTTGGGACGACTGCTCTGAGAGCCCTGGGTGACGACTTTCACCAACTCTTGAAAGAATACAAAGACATCTTTGCATTCGAAGTCCATGAAATGCCAGGCATCAGTCCTCACTTGGCGGTACATAAACTGGTCGTGGATCCGAAAAAGAAGCCGGTAAGGCAGAAGAAGCGGAACCATGGCGAAGAAAGAAGTCAGGCGGCAGCCGTCGAAGTTAAGAAATTACTTTATGCAGGGTTCATTCGGCAATGTTACTTCCCAGACTGGGTTGCAAATGTAGTACT